GCCATGAATAGGTATCTGAATGAAGCTATGACCTTTTTGAGAACAGATCAAACCCAATGGCAAGAATTTCTAACTTCAGGGTAAGCATTGCCTAGTATTGTATTTGTGTTTGAAGCAGCAGTGTTGAAAATGCATCTAGAAAGGGGTGAAGGGAATTCTTGTAATTCTATCACTGCTGTGTGTCATAAACCAGGCAATGCAAATTACACTACCTTTAGAGGTCACTAAATTTGTGAACCTGACTATTCAGTATGTATACCAACACAGCACTATTTTAAAGAAATTAATGGGGTTTTACTCTTACTTATTTAATGACCCTTTTCACATTGCACTTCTCTGCATGACCACAGGACCCTATTTTTAAATATTACAAACTATAAGTGCTAAACACAAAGAATTTGGCAAGCTATGAGGGTTGAACGTAAGTTAATTCTAGCTTACATTGCTAGGATAATGGCAGCTTCAGTCAACAAGCTGCTTTTTCATACCAAAAACCAAGCCTATTCCAAAGCCATCCATAGCCTGGATGGCATAGGTCACCCTGCCACGGGACTGCAATAAGATGCACACATTTCAATAGTAAATCAATTAGACTGGAAGAATGGTAAAGAAATAAGATGTAACCATGTACCCACGCACACACTGATCAAATGCTTCCTTTAGTGACAGTCCAAAGGCATCAATTCTACAAACAGGATTACTTTACACACGATGTTTTCTCTTAGATATGTATAGATGTACTAGCTGTTATTGTGTCAATCTTTAAGTTGAACTGTGTTAAAGATATTTCAAGGCAGCAGTTTTCAGTTTAATGTAAAGGGAAAAGCCAAAAAGCACTTGGCAGACAATAAAAACAAACTTGCATATTTAAAGGCAATTATAGTGAAATACTCTATAATCACAGAATTGTATGACATCAAGGAATAAAGATTAAAATCTTTTGGTTAATTCTATTTAAAGCTACATGAATTAAAAGATTTGCATTACAAGTTCTGATGTAAAGCAAGTATTTTCATATACGATTAACTTGCAGAGCAATTGCAGTGAAACTCTAAAAATATTACCAAGACTCTATCCACATAGAAATTATATGAAATCTGAGTTTCTCCATTCCGGAGAAGCATACTATTCTAATAAGAACTATCCTAATCTTCACCCAGCAATAATTTCAAGATGATATTATTATTCTCATTTCCTTGAATAATATCCATACTCCAGGGCCATTTTCCTTCTCATATTCAATATCATGCATGCTTGTATCAAAATTCCTTTCTTCATATCCTGTCACAGTATCAATCACTGCCTCCTGTCCACTCAATCCACTTTTGATTTATCAGCCGCCGTCTTTCTGGACTCCATAACTCGACCCAAACCATTTTAGCAAGACATTGACAAATAGCACCCAGTATCACATCAACCTGTTCCACTTAGTAAACTAAGAAACAGTAACTGTGACATCTCTGCATAAGTATTCCATTCTATTCCCCAGACTGATGTATATTAATGAGGAGATGGTATTTGAAATGCTTCTTCCACATCAGCATCTAATATGATCAAATTAGGAAATGGGATGATTTATTAAATTTCGTAGAGCTGAAATATTTCTTTATATCACTAGATGTGTGGTTTCAGAAAGTGAGCTGTTGCTTTCAATTTTTCTACTGAGGATGTGCCTGCATTTCACAGACGAATTATTGTCTTTAAAAAGATTGCAAGAAGGCGAAATGTTATTAAGCAAATGCTCAGTAAAACAAACTAAATCGGTTTTAAAATTCCTAATTTAATGTAAATCTTGGTTGTTTTGCTGAAATTCAGTTTGTGATCTTATTAAGTCATATTTGCATTGTACTATCTTGCTGTAGGACAGCTTTAAATTTATAGCATTACTAGGAAGCCCCACTTTTTTGACTCTAAAAAAATGCATCTAAAATAAAATAGTTATAATATGGACAAGTTTTCTTATCTTCTAAAATATAGCACAAAAAAATTCTTTTAGGCACAAAAAAATTTTAGGTTACAAACAATATCTACTCAAAAAAATACTCAAAATATTTTTAAAACGTCATTATAAAAAAATCTAACTTTTCAAATTAAAACTTGGTATTTCAGTATTGTATACAGTTGGAGCTCTGTAAATCATACACTCAAATAAAACACCTATGTTAGAGAAGTTATTAAAAAAAATTACGTTACAGCCACATATACTTTTACCAGCATTTTCACTACCTTGAGAAACAAAATATCTTAATTTTATGGGGGACTGTGGGGAGAAAAGACATTATGGGATACAGAATTTGTGCCATCTGCATGACTTATACCAAAAACAAATGCAGTGATTTAAAGATACCATGTAACGGATCTTAGCTTCCAATATGAAACTAGTTTTCTAGTGTCAGTCCCGTTCCCATTGCGGGGGGGGGGGAGGGGTGTGTGGAGAAATCACAGTTGCTCAAGTCCTAAAGATGGTACTCTGAAGGTACAACAGTAACGTTACAAATACAAGTAGCATAGAGAAGATCTTCACTTTATTGCTGTATGTCATATTGCGGCTTTTCAGGTGGGTCAGTAGATTTTACTCCCTGCCACTAGCAATTCAGAAGTTGGAGATCAACAAGAATACTTCAGTGGGTAATGCACTCTTTACTACACTAACACAAGGTGGCTGCCTGAGCTACTTCTGATCATTTTATTATCTAGTTTACATAAATGTTTTCTTCAGTACTTACCTTTAGAAGTCATATGAAAATAAGTTGCCCCACCCCAAGCAAAAAAATTAATTAATTACAGATGCCAAATTCTTATGAAAATTCCACTTCAGTGCTACAAATACATACATTTCCTAAGACAAATATTGTCTCTTCGCATTTAACAGCTTTGAATGGATTTTTCTTGTCTGACTGCTTTTTTAATTAATTTCAACTTCTGGTATCCACAACCTCCAACAGCAAGGGCTTCCACAGCTTAATTATGCAATATATAAGAGCCATCTCCTTTTATTTGACTAGGATCTGCCACCAGCTGACTTCATTCACTTTGATGCCTGCCCCAGGTCTTACATTGGAGGAGATAGGAAACACTCATTCGTTAATCATCTTTTCATGCCATTCATTTTTTAATTTATTTTTTTTATACTCCTCCATCATATTCCCTCTTTCCCCCACAATCTCTTTTCCAGCCTGATGAATCATAACGTACTCAGTCCTCTTAGGAAAGCTGTTCGTACTTTCGATTGAGTGCACAAGACAGATTTTGAGATAGCGAAGAAAAGAACTATTTAGCACGGCTGCAACTGCCTCAATGCTAACAAACAGGGAAAACACAGGCCTCCAGTAGCAGCTTTCTGCAACCTACTTAACTCTTCTCCAGAAAAAAGATTAATCCATGGCTTCTCCGTGTAACATTACAGCAGAGAGCAGACTTGGAAAAAATTACAATAAAAGATTCAATGTGTCCTGTTGGTTTTAGTTTTATGCTTTTAACATTCCAGAAGACTCTTCTGTTATAATTTAGGATGCTATTTATAAATATTTTCCCTGAAGAACCATGTCTGTGAATAGTAATATCATTTAAAGTGACCTACAGCTATACTTTTGTAGCTACAGTACTGAAAAGCTAGTATATTTTATACATAAAATATTTTATACACAATATTTCCTAGCACAAAATGAAACAAACAGTAGTCATGTTTTTAAAGTTTTTAGGTGCATAATTTCCATATACTCTGATGACAATTAACATCAGTGAACCCCTTGGAAAAGATGACCATTAGACTATGTCTAATGAGATCTGCAGTTTATACTCATTACAATAAAACAGAGATCTTTAAATCATGTTACTCAGCATTAGGAAACATGATACCTGACAAAAAAACCCACCTTCATTTTCACCTTATTCTTTTGACATTTCATTGTTTTAAAACTGATTTTGTTAGCAAAACAGTGGATATTTACAGCAATATTTCTACACACAGCATAGTAGCTTATCTGGGGTCTACAGCTCAGACGGTAAGTATACTCAAAGAGAGATCAGACAGTTTAAATAACCAAATTGCTACTACAAAGGCACTGTAGCAAAAAGTGTCCAGACAGCTATTATAATGAACAGCTGTGAATAAGTCAAAGTGAAACGTTCACATCTTTCAACAACAAATTTTCAACATTTAGAGGCAACAGCTCCACTGATTTGGCATGTGAAAATAACATCTTTTACTAAATTCTTGATGCAGGTATACAAAATTACCTGGCCGAAGATCTGTAAACACATACCAAAAAAGCTTTGATCTGCCTGATACACTCAATAATTAATTTAAGTTCAATAGAAAATGCTAACAGTAATTCTGATATCCAGGGATAAACTTTATTTAAACTTTTTAATTGAAAAATACACGCACACAAAAGTTGATCTTCTTTTAATTACAAAAGTATGAAGCAGGTTTTATAATATAATTTGCAACATCTGATTAAGATTTAAATATTTAAATTATGTTTATTATTGAAAATATCCATTTGTCACAATCCAATTTATCAAAAATTTGGCACCATAGATATCTTTAAATATTGAGAAAAATGTGCATAACTAAATACTCGTCTCTTTCCAAGGCAAATACAGATGAGAAAAATAACAGTTCAGTCTGATCTTCAGGGAGCCAGTGTTATGCATAGGAGTTACGGAAATCAGTAATCAGAAAAAATCCACAAGAAGTTTTCAGATGATTACAGTTAAACTAAGGTGACTCTATTAATGCTTTTTGCACTCAGTCAGATGCAAAATATATAACTTATCTTCAAAACCAACTGTTCCACCAGTGTAATTTAAAGATTTAGTACACCAAAAGCACAGCATAGAGATTTCAAATTAGGAAGAGTTTCAAGTGACATATAGTTTAGATCACTTGCAACCATTTTTTCTAATATATTCCAAACTCAGTAACTATATGGAGATTTTAAATGAATGTTTTTACAGTAGAAATAATAATTCTTTTTCCTAGAAAAGAGTCTTACCTTCTTGTTCTACTTTTTGATCTCGATCTTTGAGACCTGTAGGATTTGCCTCTGCCCCTTGATCGGCTACGACTGCGTTTTCTTCTAGAACCATATGAAGAACTACTGCTCGATCTGTGTCTGCGTCTAAAACAAAACCATGCTATTAGTATGCTACTGCTTCTAAAAAGAAAAAAAAGGAACAAAAAACCTAACAGTTTACTTAAAAGGGACATACAAACCTGTGTTTTTTGTATTATAATGTTGTAGAAGCCTCAAATACCACTATTACACTGTAATAAGTAATTCACATACACATGGACAATGCCTGTCTTAAGAGTTTACATTCTAAAATATACATCCCAAGGCAGGAAAAGGGCAGGAGAGACAGAAGTTAACTGATTTGCCCAAAATCATGCAATACCTCAAAGGCAAAGCCAGGAACACAACCCAGCTCTCAATGATTTTTAGTCCCAGGACCAGCTCATTGGAACTCACTCCCTGTTTGCCAAATCTAAGCTTGAAGAAACATTTAGAACCTACATTCTCAGCAGGATTTACACAGAAATACATTGTATGGGATAAGGACTACAACTCCAGTGCTAAAAATGAAATTCATAAAATGTTAACTTCTGCATTGCTACTCTATACAATTATTTCCAGTCATACTACGTACATACATAAAATGTAAACATGAAAATGTATTTTAAATTACGTACACCTAAAAATATTTTATGTATATATATAACCTTACAATTTGTTATCTCAACTTGCATAACATGCAATCTTTGTTCTGCTCTGATGTAGGCAGACCCTCCCCCACCCTTTTCTTTTTTAGTACTATTAGTAATCAAACAATCAGTGTTAATTTATTCCATTTGAGCTTGTAAGTTTTATCCTGAATTCAGTCAGAAGTCAGAAAGGTATCTTCCCTTTCCCCTCCCACGCAGCCTCCCCGTTTCATTTATTCAAAATACAAATTCTTATACACATAGGAGAAAGGTGAAAGAATAGATAATAAATACATAAATTAAACCAACTAATCCCAAAACTGGGGGGAGGGATACCTTCCAAGTCTTAATCTTAAAATTTTCTCTCCAACTCCATCTCCCTAACAGCTAACTAAATAACAATTACAATCCGTATGAGAACCTCCTTATTTTTGGCCTTTATTATGTTCGATTAATATTAAAATATAACACCACGTAAAAACACTTCTGTAATTCAGGATGCAGTCAATGTGATACGTGCTTATCTAGTGTAAGGGAAAAGGCACTGTATTACGTACAATTAGTGCTGCAGTAGTCCAAACTGGAAAAGATATATAGGTTAACTACTAAAAAACAGGTCTTCATCTGAAACAGGAATGCAGTGTTCCTGCTAAATGAAGATGAAGAACAGTAATCTTAGAGACTGTTGCTTTTGATTCTTAAGGGTCAGAGATAAATCCAGCAGGACCCCAGCGTGCAATAGTGACTTAACTGCCAGGAGCAAATGCCCTAAACTAAGGGCAAAGCAAAGGTGCCAGCCAGATCCTAAAAGCAGACACTTTCGTCTTTTCTGGATTCAATTTAAGTCAACTGGTCTTCATCCAGAGTCTAATCTCCCTTCAAGCTCTGTTTTTATCTGCGAGATAGCCATGCCTGCACTGGACTAAAGAGATTCATAAAGCTGCATGTCATCAGCATATTGTTGGCATCGAAGCCCATGTCATCTCACTGTGTCCCCTAAGGGCTGTATGTAGATGCTAAGCAGGAACAGAAGAAAGGGGGGATGAAATAAACAAATAAGAAACCCCCCCCAACCAGCCAACTTGTCCCTCATTGACACACTCTTCTGCCAGCTAAAGAGAGATTTATCAGGAGCACTTTCTAATATATTTACAGTGCAGCTAGACACAATGAGTATTTTCCAGCTCCACTTATTAATAAATTGACCACCACCTGTTCAGTTTGACTCCAGGATCACGACAAGTCAGACTGAGACACAACAAGGGTATTCAAAAAAAGTCAGGTACTGAAAGGGGCCCTGATGAAGGAAATACGATGTTAGGTCAAGAAAAAATTGGTAGATGTAGCCACATGATCTGTGTTCTAAACACCTGGCTGACTACTGTATTTTGTACACATAAAAAATAGCAAGAATAATGGCAAAAACTAGCTGTTGCAGCAAATTTATAGACCTACTGTAAAATCACTCTAAGTCTTTCTACTGAGAAAGTTTACCTTGTTGTCTGGAAAGACCTGCTTTGTTTATTATGACAGAAAAAAGTAACACCAAATAGTCTGTAACTAGCTGAATGAAACTACCTTTTCAAACTGGTGTTAATGCATGAACTAGTCTATTTCCAAAAAGAGATTCCAAATTCATTATTTAGAAGGAAGAGAAAGGAAGAGTTATTTTAGTTGGCTGGTTTTTGTCTGTTTTAATAGGGAAGTTACCTTTGGATCTGCATATACACTAGTTTTGTATTCTTGGAGGGGGGGAAGGTGTTTTGGTTTTTTCTTTAAACGTAAGTGAAAATATTGCCACATCTTCCAAGATTCAGAGCAAACTTTGCTATAAAATTCCAACCTAGAACTGATTACACATTGGATTGAAACACTTTCTAGCTTTCTGTCATAATATGAAAGAGCTTGATTTGTAAACAACTACAACAGACAGTAAATTACTACAAATGCACCTTTTCTCATAAGAATGTGAACGAGACTGGAGATCTCGAGACCGTGACCTTGACCTTGATTTCCTTCCAGATTTTTTACGGCTGTATGTTCTGCTGTCTGAGGAGCTACTTGAAGACGAACGCCTGCGGTGTTTCTTTTTCCTTCTGCTTTTGTTCTCTTCTTCTGTGTCCGAGGAGCGACGTCCCATTTTTAAACTATGTAAAAACAAAAATTCTAAACTGTAAGAAAGTGTCATGTCTACATTACATTGTCAGGTATATAAAAAAATATTTAGTGTGTATGCATATATAAATAAACATATTATTATACCATTTTAAAACTTATCATGTGAATAGAAAATTTGGTTTGCGTGCAAAAAAAAAAATCATGATTTTAATATAAGACATCAACAAATTCATGTTACCAAGCAAATTTTAATTAATTTATTATGGTATCAAATATTTGTTGTAAATTTTCACAAAAGCTATTTCACAACCATTTTAACAGATAAATGCACTGATAAAATCATTTATACATCAGAACATATTTTCATTTTAGCTTATTTTTACGTTTTTGCCTTAGATATTAATTTTTCAGAAATTTGGGGAGTAACGTATAAGATACTTCTAATATCTGATTTTCACTTTAAGATGCTACGCAGTCAGTAGTACAGCATCTGTAATATGTTTAATTTACAATCATAAATGAAGATCCATAATACTTACACAACCAATAGAATGCAGTCTATTGATTTCAGCTACTGGTGTGACTCACTTCATGTGTTTTTAGGTTGTGCAATTAAAATAATGTACACTTTTGTCCTCCTTGTCATAATTAAAACATGTGTTGAGAAAAAAGTTCTAGAAAATTATTTTTAAATTAATTTAAACTAGAGTTAGGTTGATTTTGGTTCTCAGTTTAGATCCACTCAACTTTAAATTGCTTTATTCCAAAATCAGACCTATAAATGCTAAATTTCAGAAATGTTTCTTGATTGCCAATGTGTTTACTTGGACAATGTTTAGAGACTTTGATAACAGATTTGAAAAACAATGGGGGGTGGGGAAGCCTGCCATTCATTTAATTATTGCGAAGACTATCATCTTCATTTGGAACTCCTAAGAGATCAGTTTCATTGCTTCACGATTAAAGAAATGCTGCTTTTCTTGACTTTCCAGGTTGCAAAACGTGCATAATGCTTTAAAACTGTTTTTCTGTCCCAGCAGTATCAGCCCTATTGACCCAAGACTTCAAGACCCCTCTTCACACACACTTCAGCTAATGGCAGTTAGTAACAGCCCCTCTTCCCAAGAAGAAACAGTTATTTCAAGGCTCCCTAGCTACTTCTGCACTGGGAAAACAGGAACTCATAATTCTTTGACATTCATATCAACAGCTAGATCATGGATATATTTTGCCACAATATCACCTGTCTTTAACCAACACTGAAATATTACAGGTCCTCATATTTCTAGCCTAAACAGGTTGAACTTGTTCATGTTCTGCATACAAACTTTTGCCCTTCCTCACACCTTTTATTACCTAGGCACCAGACCCTAATCTCCAGGGTAGAGATTGAAAACAGAACAAAAGAAGTTCACCATTAAGTATGTTTATGCTTAAATTCACAAAAGGTTTATGTGCAAATACAAGTCTTGATTATGCTAGGCCTTTTGGTCAAAATGCATGACTAAGCAAAAAAAAAAAAACCAACCATGTTTAGTTCCATGAAGTCTCTTAAACCTACATTTTCACCCTCAAGTTCCCAAGACAGCTAAAACTGTTTTTGCACACAATCGTATTTGCTACGGTCCTACAGTAATATATCTAAACACCCTAGAAGGCATGGGATTGGCAAAGCCAGTGTACTGTGACCAACTGTCCCAAGGGAGCCTTTCAGGTAGCTACACGCAAAGTACAACAAATATACAGACAATGCTACGTTCGACAGAATTTGAAGACTATGTCAGAGATGCAGGTTGGCTTGTCAAATTGAGACACACTCCTCCCATGCTGCTGAAGCTCGTCCTAAGGACTGCTAGACCCCTGGAGCCAGGGCAAGGAAGCTACAGCAAGCACGAGTCAAAGGGACATCCTCCTGGAAAGTGCCAAGTTCTGACCTGGCATCTACTTCAAGGAGAGTTTCCATATTTTATCCAACAGTTGTTTAATGCAAAATACAAGACAGTCCCTTAAGTATCTGGATTTTCTTTGATGTTCACTAGAGTTCACTTACTGCCACAATCAAAACAGTAGCTATGTAAACTCATTCCTATGTAGCCAAATCTCTGTGGATTGCAGACGGCTCTTCAGCACGCAACTCGGAGCTATCAGTTCCATTCCTGCAGCCAGGAGTGCCTACAAATTAGCCGTTACTAAGCTTTGCTGCAGTAAATCCCTCTATATATTTACTTCACTTCTCAATAGTTTCTGTTTACAGCACTTTAGAACTGGTCCTTCAGCTAACAATCTAAACAAAGCATTTTTGAAATATTCAACTTAAAACAGCAAATCTCCATGCACCTCAACCAGCAAAATTTTAGGAGGATGAACTGCTATGTAAGAGAATTTCTTTTTTAAATGAAGTTATTTCTACCATCTTACTAAAGTTAATCCACACAGATTTTGAGAAAAACGGAGGCAGTACTTTACAGAGTATTTCATCTCATTTAAGGAACTATGACTTTAATTTACAGTTCTGTAGAGGAATGCCAATTTATAGCAACGCACCATCTTGAGCAATCTTCTTATTTTTTTCCCCTTGTAGTAAAAGATTTACAGAGCTCCAAGGTACTAACAGTTATTGAATTGTAGAATAAAGCCCTTTAAATATATACTGATAGAACAATCTTCAAATGAACATGAACCTGAATCTCAAAATTAAAATAAGCAGAACTGCTCAGGAAGATGAAACTGCAATGCACAGATTTTAAGTTAAAAGCTCAGAGACCACAGCTCATGACAGCAAGATTAATGAAAGAGACCAGAGAAACAAAGAGTACAAAAGACATTTCTGCCAAGATATTCACCACTTGATGTGGATATCATTATGAGCCAGAACATTACACTTCAACATATATATCGTCTAACTTCCTTTTTTTACCATCAGCTTTTTTCCCCCCATTTGGACATATAACAGGATTAAGCAGCATATAAAACTAGTGAAACTCATTATGTAAATCTCAATTTTGTGTCTTCAGGAACAAAGAAGAACTACATGCCATGGCCCTTCCCTATTACAAGACAAGCCCTACAGCATACATGCACATACTTGAGCCTTGGGAGCTCCAGGAACACGTGGTTTACCATGGATGAGCTACAGGACAAAGGCACACGGGTGACTGATGCTCTACACGTTCTAGAATTTCCACTGGAAAAGAGGTTGCCAGAAGCAGACTGTTGATCCTGGAACAATTTGTGCAGCCAAGTCCTAGCAGCTGTCTCCTACAAGGATATCTTGAACATATACAGGCAACAAACTTGTCTGACAGGCACTATCTTTCACCAGGGTCTTTAGACCATCCCTTCAGTACATGACACACAGTTTCCTGTGAAGACGTCTCTTATAAACATAGCACTTGAGAGTAGTCAATTATCAAGACCTATAGCAGGTTAGTATTCTCCCTGACTACTGCCTACTCCCTCCATACTCCTGAACAGACCTGGGAAAAGGGACTGCCAGCATTGATTGATCACACCAGCTGAAGCCTGATGGATGGAAGAGTTGTTCTGGCAGGTCAGCAGTGGTCCATATACCATTTCCACAAACAGAACTGTATAACTGTACCTACAGATCGCAGAGGAGAACTAAGATTACTCGGGGAACCTTAATTAGCAAAATAATGAAAAGGGGAAGAAAAGGCAAACAGAAAAAATTAAGACTCATTACATGGCATCATATGCTGAATCTCATGGGATTTTTCCTACCTGGCTGTTTCCATACAAAGTTTGTAGATCCACCACAAAAACTTGTACCACAGAGTTAACGGCGTGACATAAGAGAATTCACCCTTATAGCTATGGGGAATCCCATTTTTAAGGCTCCTTACCCTTACTTCTCAGACAGAAGTGTTAAGCCGTATGTATGTGCAATAGGACATAAGCTTCTGCCAACCCCTCTTTATGTGTAGGCACTGTGGAAGATATGGCTCTCAATGCCTGGCAAGACACAAGAGGCTTTTTTATCCTGACTATGAAGCAATACTAGGAGAAGAGGGGGAAGGAAAGGCATATTAACAAGCACCAACGGCAAATGAACAGTTTCAAGTGAACTTAGAGCCTGGGTTACATCCCAGGCGTTCGTGGGGAGACAGTCTCCTAGCCATCACATCAGTGAGGCTCATTCTTTCCTATCACCCAGCTCCAACCTTCCCCCTGCGTGTTTCTCATCCACTCTTAGAATATTCCCTCACCCACTTCTGAATTTAGATCAAACTACTCTGGTCAAATAGCAAAGGAACACTGAGAATTCAGAAGATGCTGTCTCAAGATACGAAGACCCACAGCTATGTGCAAACTCATGCTGAAGCCTGAGCTGGAACATAACATCATCAAATTAATCAGCTACTTAAGTATTTTTGAAGGTTCTATTGAACATCTGTGAACTTCAACATTTTAAAGGCTTGCAATTTGCCTGAAATTGAACAGCTTTTCAATAGAATGACTAACAGCTGGACCTGATAAATTTTAAGTCCCCTTTCTGGAGCACAGGCATGTTGGAGTGTCTTAAAGACAGGCCTCCAGGCCTTTGGGGTTTTAATAGTTAATTTTTAAGTCTTGTTTCTGAAAACTGATGCTGCAACACTTTGGTTGAAATGGAAACAAAGCGCATACTCTCATACATGCATTTTGCCAAGAGAAACACCAACATCAAAAATTTCAAACTAACTATTTACATTTGGCAGTTACAAACAGTGCTACCAAGCTCACCTGCAAACAGCTAAGTAACCTCCCACCCTGCATATAACAATGTAAAGAAAACATAGATGACATAGGAAACAGACTTCTCTACAAAACCTATTCAGAGAGAGTAAGGTACACTTTCAAATGTAGTAAGAAGTATACATTCATTGATCTGACCTTGTTCAATCTTGTTTCATAGCTTTTTAGAGTTATTTCAAGTGTGCAATACATATTTTCAAGCACGAGTTTCAAATTATTACTGTATTTAGTGTTGTAGATTGTAAGAAAATAGTATCTTTTGGTTGTTTTTAA